TTGCCTTGCTGGTGGCACTACTCATCAGAAGGACTGTCTGCTCCTATACATTCCTGCCCAGGAGTCAAGATCACGGGGAGAGACCCTCCTGAGTGTCCCACCCAATCAAAGACGCTCATCTGATGGGCACACGAGACAGGGCCTTCTCGGTGGTAGCCCCACGATTATGGAACAGCCTCCTGAGGAAGGAGCACCTGGCCCCCACACCTTCGACCTTCAGGAGCCAGTCGAAGATGGTTTTATTTAGGACTGCGTTTGGCTGGTTTAGGTCTTATTTATTTGTAGTCTTAATCGGAGATTCTAAATTGTGGTCTTTTGTGCTCTTCGTAACTGTCATTTTATTTCCATCATCCACTGCCTTGAGTTCTGCAAGGGAGAAAGGCGCCTGATAAATGTTTTCAAATAAATAATGAATAGGCCTTTTGGAGGAAAGGTGGATAGGTGTGAAAGAATAGGGATTAGAATCAGAGTTGGAAGGGTCCATAGAGGCCATCTAGTCCAGCCCCCTGCTCAATGCAGGACCAGCCTAGAGCATCCTGACAAGTGTTTGTCCAGACGCTGCTTAAAGATGGCCAGTGGGGGGGAGCTCACCACCTCCCCAGGCAGCTGATTCCACCGTTGCACAACTCTTAGGGTAAAAAAGTTTTACTGTAAAAAAGAATAAGATGTGATCCTCTCCTGCTAGAATTATTTATGCAGCAAGATGGGAAGCAGACATCTGCGCGCTATTAGAAGAGTGGAAAAGTAAACTTGCTGAGTATGCAGCGATGGCGAAACTAACATCTTGTTTGAGAAATAGATCAGTTACTAAATTTTGTTGTTTGGGGCTGTGTGCCAACAACTCCCGGTGCCTCTGTGTGGGTCCTGGCGGGCAGATGGAATATATTCCAATTACATGTATTCAGTGCACTCTATCTTAGGTATTGGGTTTTGCTTTGAACTGTATGTTATGCATTAAGGTTTTTCTTCTGCATGTTTCTGAAGTTCCACAAACAGCCTCAGGTCGAATCTGCATTTGTCTTTCCCACCGGTGTCCCAGCCTTCAGACACTGTCTTCAAAAAAACTGTCTACATTTGCTTTTGTTTTCAAACTTCAACTGCACGAGTATACTTTTGCCTGTCTGCATGTGTTTATCGCCCTCTCGTGGCCGCTCCATGGGAACAGCACCTCCGCACTGCTTTAAATGAATCTTCTCCAAACAACATTCAAAAAAGCATAGAGAAAGATGGCGTCACAGAAGCACGAAACGAATTTCAAATGCAAATGCAGATTCGACCAGTGCTTTAAAAATTCTTTAATGTAATGAAGGGGGTATTGGGGATAAAACATTTTTTATTTTCTGTTTATATTGCATAATTACTTTTTACTTTCTGTATTTTATATTACCGGTCTTTAAAAACATTTTTAAGCTGCCCTTCTGGCTTCAAAGCTAGAGGAGAGACCATTGTGGGCTTCCAGTTCCCTTGCTCGAAAGCCAGTCGAGTCCGACTCTAGAGTTGCGGTGCTCATCTCCGTTTCAAAGCCGAAGAGCCAGCGCTGTCCGAAGACGTTTCCGTGGTCATGTGGCCGGCATGACTAAACACCAAGGTGCATGGAACGCCTTCTACCTAGGTATAAAAAAGAAACTCCCACCCCCAATGGTGGCACCTGCAAAACCCGTGCTTACTTGTATATCGGGTTCGTGAGGTCAGGGTTGTCATGGAAGGTGGAGTCCCGTAAGACAACAGAGTCCTGCACTTTGCAACCCACTGGGAACGTGTCCCCCACCACGGCCCACTGTAGGGGGGAGAAGGCAGGACAGAGAAGTTAGTTGACCTGTCGCAAACCAGGAGGCCAACTCTAAGGTGGCCAACTCCATGTTGGGACATTCCTGGAGATTTCAGGGCATCACCTGGAGAGGGGAGGGTTTGGGAAGGAGGGAGACCTCAAGCAAGGTATAATACAGTCCACTCTCCAATTAGGGTTGCCAGGTCCCCTGGGCCACCAGCGGGGAATCAGAGGGTAGGGTTACCAGATCCAGATTGGGAAACTCCTGGAGATTTGGGGATGGAGCCTGGGGGAGAACACAGGGATGTCACTGGGGCACCATGTCCCACAGTCCACCCCTCCAAAGCATTCAGTTTGGTGTAGTGGTGCAGAGCAGCGGATTCTAATCTGGGAATTTAGACAGGAGATGGTGGCGGCTACAAGCATGGGCGGCTTTAAGAGGGAATCAGATAAGCATATGGAGCAGAAGTCTATCAGTGGCTATGAGCCACAAGGTATACAGATAGGGACTCTCATGCTGGGAAGCAAGGGATCCTCTGTCTTCTTGGTGCTTGGGGGGGAGAGGGCAACAGTGGGAGGGCTTCTAGTGTCCTGGCCCCACTGCTGGACCTCCTGAGGGCACCTGGTGTTTTTGGCCACTGTGTGACACAGAGTGGTGGACGGGATGGGCCATTGGCCTGATCCAACATTGGCTTCTCTTATGTTCTTATGTCTGGGGCAAGTGATGCTCTGTATTCTTG